CTGTGGTCTTCTTCCCAAAAACCCATAACCCAAGTCTAATGATGAGATAAACATCATACAAATCTCAACTGATGGGCAGTCTATGAAATACTTGACCAGTACTTCTCAAAACTGTCAAGGTCATCAAAAACAAGGAAAGTCTAAGAAATTTTCACAGCCAGGGAGAGCGAGAGGAGACATGACAGCTAAATGTAATGTAGTATCCTAAATGGTATCCTGCAGCAGAAAAAGGACATTTGGTAGAAACTAGGGAAATCTGAATAAAGTGTGGACTTTAGTTAATATAAACAAATAGAATGGTTTCAATTGCTTAAAGAAATCTTAGAACATCTTACTTTGCATGGTTGAATGAGCACTGGCTTGGGGGTCGTAAACTCTGGAATGGAGGCTTCTCTGCCACTTGGTAGCAGTATAATCATTAAGCAAAGCATTACTCTGGACTTCATTGTCCCATTTCTATGAAATTGGGCTAACAAAAATTGATATTATACTTCCTTCATAGTATTGTTAGGCAATCCAAATGAATCAATGAATGTAATATACTTTGGAAAGCATGTAAAGTATTAGATACAATCAAGTGGCTTCAGTTAGTTCTCATTCTGACACCAAAACGGAAAGGGTCAGGCATCAGAAACAATATTATTTCCTCTTCATATCTGAGAGATTTGGAAATTCTGAACTAAGGCATTGCTTATAAGAAAAAAAAAGTGTGCAAAATGTTTATTGTTGAGACCAGGAATACCTTTGTTGTATATCAGCAATGATAATAATAGTAAGGTTTATTGAGTACTTACTATGTGCTGAGGCATTTTTAAACTATTATTTAATCCTCCTTAACAACTCAATGAGGTAGGTACTACTGTTATTCCAGTTTTAGAGCCAAAAAAAATAAAAACAAGGCACAATGAAGTTAAGTAATTTACTCAGGTCACACAACTAGTACAGTGACTGCCTCTCAATAGTAGTGTTCAGTAAACATGAGGTTATAAGGGTCTGGCAAGATTAGGAAGAGGTTGAGAATATCAGTGACAACTCTCTGAGGAATCTAGGCATGTCAGATCAAGGTTTGTTATTCATGAAAGTTAAGTCAGCTGCTCTGTAGGGATCAGTTGTTTTATTCCTGGAAAATGTTTTCCATTTTGCTGCAAATCTATATCTGACCTGCTGAAGAAATCGTTTGGTGAAATGAATCCAGAAAGCAGAGAAAATGCTTCATTACTTTAAATAGCAGCACTAAGCCCATTATAGCCTCTGAATTGTCCCTTCTTGCAGTTTGCTAATGCTTCCAACTTAGTCAGTTGAAGCCCAAGAGTACAATTTTATATGTCCCTACCAATATCCTCACCTACTGCAGAATGTATAATTATCTATTTGTTTTGGACCATGTATTAGAAAAATTTAAAACATAAGATTTTGTTCATCTACTTCATTATTATCAAGCCAACATTGTGCCGTGTTTTGTGATACTTTTTATCATTTTCTAGAATTCTTTTGTGGCTCTAATAAAATGAGACCTCTCGAACCCAGTTCCACTGAATCCTTATTTTTCTGTTCAATTAAAGGAGAACCAAGCAAAGGCATATGTTGTCTTTTCTTCCTTCCTGAGATAAAAGAAGGAAAAGAAATTACCTATGGGTGTAATTGGAAATGTGGGCTTGTTCTGGCACATCATTTTTTCTCTGCTCACTCCATGTGGTACAGGTCTGGCTAGTCAGTCTCTTGAAGTTAAAAGCTCAGCCAGTATTTGTTGTTTTAACTAGCTCTGACTTTCTCAAAGGGTCTTGGGATCTCCCAATACTAACTGACATATAAAATAGCTTGGGCACAACCAGATATGGCTTTTTAATTGTAAGTTACCACTCAGAGGCTTATGTTCACTGTTCTTTATTTCAGTGTATCAGAAATCCTTGCAGTTTCATTCTTTCATTTTGTGAGAAGGACTATTTATTTGACTGAATTCAAGGCTTTCAATTTTAAAATGTATGTTTCTTGACTGTAGTACAAGTCTCTATTGTGAGATACAGTATGGTTGGGTAGAAAAGAAACCAAGAGAGCTGGGTCTAGAATAGCTTTGCCACCTGTTAGTGGTGGGACATTAGGCAAGTAACTCACTTATCCTGTCTGTACCTCAGTTTCTGCAGTGGAAAAAATAGAGCAATCATGTCTCCTTCACATAGTTTTAAAATCAAATGATATAAATGAAAGTATTTTTAAGTTGTGCAATGCTGTGTGCAGTGGTCTTTGTGAAGGAAAAATCTGAGCTAGAAGGAATAATTGTTGTGTCGTCGTTAAGGGTAGACTGTGGAGTCAGACTGTCCTGGCTTTAACTTTCATCTCTGCTTTTATTAGCCCTTCATCCCTGGCAGGTGTCTTGCTCAATTACCTTCTCTTTATTTATTTATTTATTTATTTTAAAAAGGTGACCGGTAAGGGGATCTTAACCTTTGACTTGGTGTTGTCAGCACCACGCTCACCCAGTGAGCTAACCGGCTATCCCTATATGGGATCCAAACCTGTGGCCTTGGTGTTATCAGCACCACACTCTCCCAAGTTAGCCATGGGCCGGCTCCTACCTTCTCTTTAAATAAAGATAAAAATTCTTCTTGGGGTTCGTATGAGGATTAAATAACCTAATGTATATAAAGTACTTAGCACAGTGTTTGAACATAGTAAATAATAAATGGTAGTTTGGATGATGGTTGTGATGGTGATTATAAGAAAGTTCTGAAGTTTGGCTCATTGTTTCTAAAACTAAGGAGATATATCTCTGGGAATATAGTTATGGAGATAATTATCAATTTCAGTCTCTATACCTTGGCCCCCTAAAATCTTTTATTCCAAGCTATAATTTTTATAAATGTCCTCAGAGAAATGATTCTCCCTGTGCCTTCTCTAAATTGAGTAGCATTATCTCAGCACTTCTGGGAGAGCTTGTTAATTAGGCTGCTCCCTACTTCTAACTGCCTCTAGTCTTTTAATTTGATTAAAAGATTTTGTTTATCTGGGAAAGTGGGTGATTATATTAAAGCTTTGCCTTGTCTGTTTATGACCATAAGCTGATACTTCTGAGGATGAAAAGGGGGACAAACAAGATGAGGAATAAAGAAAAGGAAACACTTCCTCATTTCTCTTCATTCTGACAACAGCACAACTAAAGATTTAGTAAAGCTTAATGTCCCTGTAAAACAAATTCCTCCAGTCCTGCCTTTTTAGTTCCCTCCTGAGCCAAACTAATCAGGTCCTGTCTGAAGCAAACAGTGTTTACCTTGCCCAAGTGAAGAGCCCTCATTCTAGCATTATAGCTCCCTCTGACTCTCTCTCTGCAAAATCATTTATACTGTAATTCCCATTCCTTTGGGAATCCCTAAATGATTCTTTGAACTTGAGCCTTATGGGAAAGACCCAACACACTGTACTGGCTTATCAGGTCCTAAATTGCCTGTGGCATAATGCCAACATGTGGGACAGCTGGCTCTGTTATTGGAAGTAACAACAGGCTATGGCACTATCAGGATGGTGAACAAATCATACTAGCAGTCAACATGGATTCTCTATTTCATTTCTTCAGGAAAGCAAGTTGTTTCTGCCGTCATCGGTCTACAATCAGTGCATGGTCCTGCCCCAAAAGAATTCATTCCTAGCTGTTGACTTTAAGAGCAGGAATCTGAAAGGCTTGAGGTTTCAAAAAAGTCAAGTTAAGGGGGTAGGCTTTTTTTCTTTTTTTGGCAGCTGGCCGAAATGGGGATCTGAACTCATGACCTTGTCATTATAAGGCTGCTCTCTAACCAGCTGATGTAACCGGCCAGCCAAAGGATGACCTTAATTTAGCACAAGGCCCTGCAGAAGGATGCCAGGGGATTCCCGCTGTAATGCTCAGGTTACCCTTTTGAAATAAAGCACCATCAATCAATGACAGAGGTTTAGTTGAAGGTCAGACAGTGGGGATCCTTAATGTCCAGTCTACATTTATTTCTCAGATGATGCAAATGCTTAGAATATGGTTATGGGGAGCAGAGTGATTAAAGGAAAAACATTTCCTTTAATGTCTTCTCAGCATTGAGATTCTCGAGCAGTGTGTCCGGTTTGGAAAACCATTCCCTTCAAGGCTTCAATGACAAGAAGTAAAATATTCCATCTAGTGGTCAGAGAAGGGAAAGGTGAAATGAGAAGGTTCTAGAGTGAAGTTCGTAGGGCAAAATGACAGGGCAGTGGTTTCTCAGCAGGCATCTTCTCCAGAACACGATATAACCTGGCCTTGGTGGTGCTGGCACTTTTTGAATATGCCTGTAGTGGATGAGGAGTCTGGGACACCATCCTTACAAACTTCTCAGCAAAACTGTTCTCGGTGAACAGCGATCATGTTGGCAGGTTATAGTCTGGCTTTATAAGCCCTCTCCCATCCCCGCCCTCATGAATGAAGAAATGAGCCCAATCACTCATGCCTCTGTTTGTCTTGTGCCTGAATTTGTGAATATGTGAGTTTGAGAAGAACAAGCGTGAAATGTGAACTTAAAAAAGGAGGGAAAGTCAGTCTAGCAAAGGATCAAAAACAAATGTTACTCTATAAGGTGAGGAGGAAAAGGATAAGTACTCTTTCTGTTCCCAGTAACTGCACCCTTTATGTCCTTGCTATCAGTAAAAGTTGGCCAAACTGACTTCCCAGGAATTTATCAAGGTACAGTAATAGTGACATCTTCCTGACTATAATCCTTCAACAACCTCCCAATACCCACAACCAAGGGGCCCACTCTCTCCCCTTTACCTCTCTTTTTCCCCAGTTCTGGAGAAGAGCCATAAACTAATAATACAATTCACATTTCCCACAACTCCAACTGCCACTGGAGACCTTGACTAGAGCTTGCTTTCCACACAGTAATTAGGATGTACCCTTGAAGAGAGCTTCCGCTACCAAATCTTTGTGTGCTACCAGCTCCTCTATCCCACCTGCAGTTTGTACCCTCCCTCTGCCCTCTGTCAAGGAATAAGACACAGACAACCTGGCCATTTCCACACCTGCCCTTTATTGGACTCATACAGAAGTGGGGGGCTCCAGACCCTTCACACTTCTCAGACACCACCCATAAGGGTTTCGGGAAGGTGCCATCATTCTGCGAAGGCCCAGAGTCTACCCAAGTCTTGGAGCCCAAGTTGAATCACCAGCCAGAGGGCTGGGAGAGGAAAAGAACAGGCAGACAGGAAAGGCAAGGCTCTTCAGTGAAGGGGACTGATGTCAAGGGAAAGCTTAGGTCCAGCAGTGTCTCCTGAGGGCGCACACTCAGGGACTGGATGGAGTAGATCTGTGTGCTGAGCAGCTCGTGTCTATATCGCAACTTTGAGGAGGCGCTTGATGTCAGGCTCAATGTTGATAGTCGGGAAGGTGCGGCTGTAGCGCCGGAAAGGCTCCCCCTCTGGCCCTATGAGGAACTTCTCAAAGTTCCAGGACACATCTGAGCGGCGCACAGGGCTCCAAATGATGAACTTGGGATCGGTCATGAGGGAAAACGGGTCATCATGAGGGTAGGGGAGCTTGTCCTTCAGGTAGGTGAAGACGGGATGCTCATTCTGCCCGTTCACCTCACACTTTTGGACAAGAGTAAAGGTGGGCTGGTAGCCACCCCCAGGGCGGACATATTTGAGACTGTTCAGGATCTCTTCATTCTGACAGTTCTCCTGGGGGAGGAAAAAGACAAAGAGCATGGAAAAGGGAAGGGCGAAATGAAGGATCCACAACATGAAAATCTTTCACCCTCCTGTACTCCCTTCCCAGGATCATTCTTTTCTCTGGGCACGTGTTTCTCCTTCCTTCTCCATTTGCTTTGCCCTACTCTTGAGTTGGAGTTTTCCCTCTCCCAGCTATTGTTTGAAGGCTCGCTAGGCCATTTCTGAACGTTTTTGCAGTTTCTAGCTTCTTTTACTTAAAAGTTTAGCACTTTTGAGCTGTTGCTTATGTCTCCAATCTACCCAAAGCAGTTCTTCAGGTATTTGAAGTTTTAAGGAGTTGAGTTCAGGGCAGAAGAAAGGGAAAGAGGCTCAAGTAATACTGCCTAGAACCTCCCCTTCTCCTTAGCTACCTATGTACCCATACATACGTGCCTACACGCCACACACCCCCACGCATGCACACACCCTACCACCACCTTCCCTTTCCCTCCGCCATGGTTTTGCCTCTCATGCTTCTGGTTACACGTGTGTTGAGTATATATAGCCTTTGCCTATGCCCTATTCAGCTTCTCAAACTAAGGATGAGGTTGAGGTCCAGAGAAATGGGATTTGCAGTGTCTCACTTTCATCTTGCCTTGTCCTAGAACTGAAGTGCAAATAGGAGGAAGCTTTGATGAAGGAAGACCCCATCCAAGGAAGTCTAGTTTTCAGGTGCCATAAAGGCAAAGCAAGTTAGAGACAGCAATGAATGTACTCTAAATGGAACTCCTTAGTGACCAACAGTATTGAATTAAATAGGACAGAGGTTTAGAATTTTGGAATAGGCCGGTAGGAGTGGGGATGGGGGAGTGGAGTAGAAGTTGAGGAAATAAGTGCTTGAGGGCTAAGACTTCTGCACCTCATATTCACTCACCATACTCAGTTATGAATGCTTTAGCTCAGAATCAGTTACCCGTCTTTCCTTCCCCACTACCATCCCTGTCCCATCCCCATGCAGCACTCCTCACATCTGACAACCCAAAAAACCTGTGGGAACCCTCATTTTCCATACCTCCCCCAGCCCCCCACACCCCAGTGTGAGAGTCAGTTCTTGCCTCTGCCTCTAACCTACTAGAACCAATTAGGACAGTCAGTTCCAGGCTATCATGACATGAGCCCAGAGTTCATCTTTATTAGACTTATCTCAATGCAAATAGCTGCCTAGCTCCAGGTGGGTTATGGACTCCCTCCAGCAACTAGCTACCCATGAAGCGATGGTGTGAGGTTGAAGGCACCTCTAGGGCTGGAGGGTCATCTCTAAAGAGATTTTGCCCTTCCTGTTTCTCTGGCCTTGGCAAAGGCTAGAAGGAAAACTGAGACGGGGAAGGAACAGTGAGAGCAGTAACAGTTTGGGCTCAGGTTTGTCACAGCCAATGATACTTCAGCCTTCCTGCTTACATCTCAGCTAATCTCTTCCTTGCTTTCCTATCACTGTGAATTGAACTAAGGGGATTATAATTAAAGGGTTTACTTGGGGACATTCTGCCTGCTTATACAATTAAAATCATTAATGGAAATAGAAGAATCTCTAAAAGATAACTTGAGGTGTGTGGGCTGAAGATCTATAACAACGTGACCCTTTAGTCAGAGACTGAGGGGTGCACGTGATTCCCAGAGGAGACACGTGCATGTTGCAAACCTTTCCCCTCCCCCATATTCACTTCCACTTGGCTAATTTAAACAAATCTTCAATCTAAATCATCAAGTTACTTGCATTTGCATACTACTTCATATTTTTCAAGTTACTTTTGTATATCCAATCCCCTGAACCTCACAATAATCCTATAAGCCAAGTGTTATTATCCCCAATTTACAGATGAGGAAACTAAAACAGAAAAATCAAGGGCACAGAGCCATTAAATAGCAGAACCAAGTCTAGCTGGAATTAAGGTCTCCTGAGTTAGTGCAGTCCTAACTTGATTATTGATCTATTTCCTCCACTCATTCATTCAACTATTTAATGACTGCCTTCTGTACCCTATGCACTGAGGACACAACAGGAGAGAAAAACAGACCTGGTACCTGTATTCATGGAGTATAGTGGGAAGACAATAAACAATAAAACTGCACACCCTTGGGGTTTAATCTTAAAACATATTTCCCTTTGGTATTTCACATGCACTCAAAGACCTAGATTAACAAAACATACCCCATGGTTCTAGACACTGAAACACACATAGTTATTCACCCCCTCCCCTTATCCTATTTGGACCATTAGCCCAGCTCCTTGGGTACAATACAAGGGACCCCTCACCTGATGTCCAAATTGGTTGCAAGGGAAGCCAAGAACCACCAGGCGCCTGGGAAAGCGGCATTGCAGCTCGTTGAGCTGGGTGAAGTCCCGGGTGGTAGTGCCTCAGAGCGAGGCCACATTCTCAATCAGCACTGCCCTGCCACGGAATGTATTGAAATCTACTTTCTCCCCATCCAGGCTGATGGCACTAAGGTCGTAGAAGGACTTGGCTATGTAAGCCATGGTGAAGCACACAGTGAGCCCTACAGAGTGGCGGGAGCCCACTTGAGTCTATCAAAGGGATGGGGAGGAAGGAGGAGCCAGGAAGGAGGACAGAAGGGATCTCACAGTGGGACTTTGAGCATGCCCAGGATGACTTAGCAGAAGCAGGCACCCACCTGCAAATGCTGTTTGAACAAGGAGGTTGCTCCTCCTATTTACAGACTCTGAACAAAGCTGCCTCTCTGCCCCACCCTGCTGGCAACCCAGGAAGGGCGATTTGGTATCTGTAAGCAGACATGAATAATTCACTACTTGCAGGAAACCAGAGCCTTGAAGGTCAAATGGGGAGGAAAAAAGGGAGGGAGGAATGAAGGATTGACTACTACTTGCCCCAGCAGGTTGTGTTCACTTGGCATAGACATTTACTGGATGCGGGCTGGTGCCAATCTCTGAATTGTGCAGTGAGAGGTCAGGGTCTGCTGTGATCTGAAAGATGAGGAAGAGAATTGGGGCTCGTGTCCACTTGACTCAGACTACAGCTGAAATCTACATGTTACAGTTCATGTTTTTCTTTTTGGCTGTTGCTCTCCACAAGCACAAAATCAAAGGGACCCTTAGGAGGAAAGTGTATCATTTTCCAGAAATATACAGTGCCTCAACTTGCAGCAAGCTGGAGATGAAGTTGTGTTTGTCTTGATAAGTTGCTCAGTGAGTCGTGTTGCTTGTACTGGAGAACGCATCTGCCCTTACCCCTCCATTGTATCATCTCCTGTATTACAACCCCCACCTCCAGCTCATTCCTCCACCCGAGTCATTAAGATGCGGTCAGTTGCTGGGATAAAAGGTGAGGAAGAGTCACAGAACAGGTGGATAAACTCAGAATGGATGAAATGCACCTATCTCTTTCTCAGTGAAAGATTCAGTCCCCAAGACTTTTCACTGGGGGCTTGTGCTGGTCATCTCCCCACAAAAGGAGGTGTGCAGGGAGTCGAAGCTGCTGTAGTTCTAGACCCAGGTAGGCCACCCATGATGTTTTCAACACCAGCCATGTAATCTATTGCAGGACAGCCCAGGACCTGCTAAGGGCTATCATGGGAGCCCACCCCTGGAAGCCCACAGAAACTAAAGAGACCTTAATGCCACTTTATTCTTCCGAGCACCCACCAACTCAACAAATCACTTTTTTTTAATACCTCGATTTCTCCATCAGTAAAACTAGCAATTAGGCTTTATCTGGCTTTGGGATTTTATAGTGAAAATTCAATGACAAAGCATGTTTACTTGAGCATGTTTTCACAGGTACACATCCATTGGGAACTGTTTTCTAGAACAAAGAATAAACAAGGCTGGGGAGCAGCTGGTCTTGAGAATCTGATTTGTTAAGGAACTACTTGCCAGGGAGTGCTCAGCTTTTCTGCCTTGTAGTTTGTTCCATGGCTGCTCAAGTACCTGGGAGCCAAACGTCTCTGCTGGCTGCTCCCTAAAAACAAGTTTCCATTACCTCAGTGGGTAGAAGGTGTGGCAGGAAGTGCAGAGTGAAGTGTGTCCCCTGCTGAGGCTGGGTGGGGTTCCTAGAAGCAGCCAATAAGTGTCCCTAACAATCTGCTAAGTCATTAAGAACTTGGCAGTGATAATGGGTGAAACTTCAACTTGCCAGGTTTATCTGCATGCCTAGAGCTCCCCCACGTACTTCCTAGTACTCTCTGGTCTTCCAGGGAACCCTCTTATTTGCTGCTCTTTTGCGAGCCCTTTTCAGGAAAGCCATAGAAATTCCTGAGCTGAGGAGTGGAGTAATTGCTCTTCCTTAGGTACACACCATCCCTTTTATCCAGATGCAACCTGGGACCCTTAAGAGTCTCCCAGGGTTCTCAAGTTTCACAATTGAATAATAAAATACCTCTGTCTCCAACTTTACCTCACACTGGCCCCACTTTCCAGAAACTTATAGTTTTGAGCATGCACTAACAAGTGTGTGATTCTCATGCTTTCTCCAGGACAGTGGTTGTTCTGGAAACAGAACAGGCTTAATAGGCAGAAAGCCTAGGTCAGTGGTTCTCAATTCTGACAGCAAATGATAATTGCTTATTGAGACTTTTCCAAATAGAGATGCCAATGTTTTCCCCTCCAGAGTCCAATCCAGTGGTTTCTAGCCATAGTTCTACACTGTTAGTTGGCACCTTTAGGCAAATCTTTTAAGCTCTCTGAGCATGTTTCCTTATCTGCTGAACATGGATAAAGATAACCACCCTCCTACTTCAGTGATTGTAATTGTAGTTAAGATCTTAAGATTGCTATTGCCCTGCCTTTGCCTTATTTTATTCCCTCCTTCATCCTATCCTTACTCCCATTCTCTATCTCCTTCATCAATTCCACATGCCACAATATTAAATACCTACACAGTCCTGAGGTTCCAGTCTGCCTCTGCTCCCCTGAGGTGTCCAATCACAAATCTGAAAGATTATTCAATCCCTCCTCATATCTTCAGGAAGACCTGATCCATCCCAAACAGATGAGAACCAACTTGGCTTTAAAGACTCCCTCAGACATGGGTGTTCAGCATCCTCCCAGTGCCTGTGCTTAATCTTATTTCTGCAGTGTAGCCCATTGCAGGGCAATTGGGGCTCTGCTCTGGGCTGCCCTGCAGGTGCACTAGGGAAGGTACGAAAGGGAAAACAATGTTTGCTGCTTCCATTGTCTTCCTACTGCTGTTGCTTTGGGGTTCTGGAACCTCTTCTACCAGTTCTTACCTCTCCCCCTCCAACATCACTGCCAGGGTCCAAACAAGACCTACTCCCAGGGACTCATACAGGCAGCCACACCTGTGGTTTGTCATATTCTTTATTTTGTAAACATCTGTGTTTAAAATAGATGAACCCTGCTCACAATTCATATAATGGACCCGAGACACAGTACACAAAGTTTACCCATCACAGGGATGGTGGGGGCTTGGGAGCAGGTGATGTGCCTGGGGCTGGGCTGAGTCTCAAGACAGCAGGTGCAGAGGTGGTGATGAGTAAACAGACCAGAAGAGCCTGCTCAACAGTCTGGGCCTAATGCCACACCCCAGACCACCTCCTGGACTGGAGCAGTTTAGGGGTAAGAGGCCGACTCTGCTGCCTGGTGAGTATAGCTGCACCCTAAAATCCCAACCCTCCTTCCGTTCCCATACTTTCCCAGCTGTGGCCCTGTACATAGGGCTCATTGGTCCACACAGTCCCATCCCCATATTTTCCCTTCCAGAACCCCTAGGACTATATAAAAATACAGTCCCTCTTTCCTGAGGGGGCTAGGAGAGAAAGACAGGGAAAGCAGCATCACTGGCTCCACAGGTTGGAGCCAGGGCCCAAAGTAAAGTCTTTCTCAAGTCACTGGCTGGGGGCAAACTGAGAGTTGGCATTACCCACCCCACCCCCAGTGTGATGCTGCATAGGTCTTAATACCCAAGGAGTCAGCCCTCAAGGAAGCAGCCCCAGCCATAGTCATGGCATCATCCTATAGTCAGCTCTCGAAATTTCTCATTAGCCAGTGATTGATAACTATTCCTGCTCTCCTTTTCCTTCCACTATGCTAACCTATCTCTCATTCCTAAATCCTGAGCCACCTTCTCCTACTGCCTGTCTCCTGATTTAATAAGTATTAGGAAGAAAGGTTTGGTGATTTTATCACCACCCACTTTTCTGGAAGAGTAAGGAAGTGGGACTCATCCTTCACACACGTGTGCCCTGGAATTGGGTCCTCAGTTGGTGAATGCTTAGCGCCCAGTTCTTTGTTTTGGCTCTAGCCCCAGTCATGCAATGCAGCTAATGTGTAGCTTAAGAGTGATCCTCTTACCTAGGCTTCCCCAACCTTGGGAAGGCGGGAAGGGAGGAAGGAACCCTAGGAGGGCTGGTAATTGACTTGATCCTTCTTTAAAGGGCCTCCTTCAACCTACTCTTGGGCCATATGGGGTTAAAGAAACTTCCTGAACACAGAACTCTGGAGGAGGGAGTCCTCTTCTTTCCCCTGTAGCCACAGTGCAGTTGGCAAACCCTCAGCCTACTCAGAAGCTGAGGGCATGATGAGCACTTAGTCCTGAAGGCTGAAGAGAACAGCACCAAGCGTTTCTCCACAGGACCTTCCTTCTTTCTGCCCATGGAGTCTTTGCATTTCACCCACAAACTGTGAGTCCCAGGAGAACCTTGAGAGCTGAAGGCTGGGCTCAGTGCATGGAAACTGACGTGGTTATTTCACCTCTCCCCTCTGCCAGGAAGTCTGGGCAAATGCTCTTCTTACACAGGGAATGGAAGATGGGCCCAGGAGGCCCCGTGATGCCATATTCCCCTGTGCTGTGCAAAATGCTGTCCCTGGCCTGCTTTCTCTTCCTCTTAACCTGCTGTGCAGGAGCAGGTCCTTCATTTCCAAATGCTCCTCTTTCTGGAGTGCATGGTTGGCTAGACAGTGTCAGTGACCCTAGAGTTTTCCTTGCCCCTGTAGGACCCTCAGGCCTTGGTCCACATCTGTAAATTCAGGAGCCCAGGTCGAGAAAAATTGTGTACACACTGCATGGGAGGTAGAGAATGGAGGTGACTTTTTATCCCTGCCACCTCTCATCATTTTTTTCCTTCTCTGAAGCATCTGCCTCTGAGCTGAGTTCTCCAAAGAGGCAGGCGGGCAGCCAAGCAAGGCCACAGCTCAGGCAGGGAGCAGGTGAAAGTAGGACAGCCCCAGGCTTGAGGACCACCAGGTTGGTTTTTCCTTCCTACCTTAATGTTCCACTTCCCAAGGTCACTGGTGAGGCAGGCCCATGGCACAAGACGGGGCAGCGAGGAGGGCAGGAGGAAGCACCCTGTAGCCTTTGCCCCACCCACAAATTGGGGGGTGGGTGTTCTCTCTGGAGTAGAGGATAGAATATCCCCATGAACCTGGGTCCATTCCCTCAGACAGGGTTAGGAAGGAAGGGAAAAGCTGCACCAGCAGCCACACAGCAGAACACACAGGGAAAAGGGATGAGGGGTATTGATACAAAACACTCTGGGGGGAAAGGGGACAGAGAAAGAGTGGGAAGCAGAGAGGAAACAGATGTGCTGAGAAAGAAGGAGGCTTAAAGTGGCCCTGACTCCAGCCACGGCCACCATCTGGGGAGCTCAGGGTGGTGAGACTGTGCCTGCAGCATATGGCGGGGTCATAGCAGGCCCAAGGCTGGGGAAACAGGCTGAGGATCCACTCCAGGGTAGAGGGGCTGGGGACAGAGGCTGCTAGGAGGTGACAGCAGAGCTGTTCTCAGGACCAGGTGGGGGGCGTAGCAGCTACTGATAGTCACCAGGGTCATCAAATGCGAGGACAGCAGCAGGGCAAAGCCCAGGCTCCCCTGTCTGCCCACAGGCCTCTGAGGGAAGGGGGTTGTCATGTGGGGTGCCCCACACAGGACCCTCAGCACCAGCAGGTTTTTGAAGAGTTCGCTGGGCCCTCAGGTTTCCCCTCCTCTTCCTCCAGCTCTGCCAATGCCAACTCATTGCTGGCACGTGTCCGGAGACCATCCAGCTCCTTCCTGTGGGCCTGCAGTACCAGCTCCGTCAGACGCGTGAAAGACTGGGAAACCAAGGGGCACACGTTAGCCCAATGTCTCCTCCTCTTCCCCTGGCAACCCAGAGGCAAGGTCCCATATCATCTGGGCTCCTGTCTGCCATGCCCTCCTCTGGCCTCCCCATCTGCTGGACTCAGCCAGAGAGACAGAGCAACCGGTCTGCAGAGCGCTCACCTCTTTAATATTGAGGTTGGTGCAGGCACTTGTTTCATAGAAGTCCATGCCATACTCCTTAGCCAGCTGCAAGAGAAGGACATTTCTGAAAGAGAGTCAGTAAGGGAAGGGAGGTGCCCACACCACCCAGCACAGACTCCTGCCACTGCACTCATGGGCCATGCTGTGATGTGATAATTTCTCAGAGTAGACAACTTCTCAGATGACACTGGGAGCTCCTTCCAAGACACAGGCTAGCAGAGAATGGGGAAGATGCTCCACTAATACACCTACCCGTTCTTCCAACCCTCACCCACACCCCCCCCCAACACACACACATCATCCATCAGGAGACAGACACCAAAATGTTTTGGCAGTATGGTGTATTAATGAAAAACATGGGCTTTGGAGTCAAGTCAGACAGACCCAGACTTGAATACCAGTGCTGCCACTTAACAGCTTGCACAACCCTGAAGGAGTTACTTATTCTCTCTAAGCCCCAGCTTCATCTTCTGCTAGGAAGGGCACTATCATCCAAGGTTGTGGATTGATTAAATGGGGTCACACACCAAAAAGCACTTGCTTAACACATACAGTAAAAATATCAAACTTTCCTTCTGTGCTCTGGGAGGATGGTCTCCCCACGGGCTCGGACATGCCCTCCACGCCATCCTCCCACCTTCTCTGCCCCTGGGGCTTCTCTGACGTCCCTCTTTTTCCTTCCTACATCTTTCCAGGCATGAGGACAGGACGGGAATGTGTGTAGGGGGTGGTATGGGAGGTCCATTTTCTGATTGTACAATGGCAGCTGTACCTGGATGCTGTTAGAGAAAAGTCTGCAACTTGAAGCCCTTCTCATCACTATCATGAGGATGATCTCTTAAGCAGAGTGGAATCCTGCTTTGGGGGACTTGGACGTGGGAAAGTTGCTGCCTAAGAGGGTGTTGTTTCTGGATGAACCCAAATCACCATCCTGAAGGATAATGTGCAAACGCTCAAGGATGGCCACTCACAGTGTGCTCTAGGATGCTGAGGGAGGTGTGAGAGGACCCGAGGACGGTGAACAGACTGCTGGGTCTCACTCTCAGGACTGCCCTGGAAGTTCCCCAGAGACCCAAGGTGGACTCAGCTAGTCCACTCCCCTACTTTACCTGCTGTCCTTGCTCTCTTCCCACCTGCCGCTTCTGCTCTTCATCAGCCTTGTTCCCTATCAGGATCTTCTGGACACCTTCTGGTGCATACTAAGGACAGAGGACAGGCAGACCTACCAGTGAGAGCTGTTCTTCCCACTCATCTCCCCCCATAGTCTACACTGGCCTCCAAACCACCACGAAGTTCAAGAGCCATAGGGACAGAGTGTTCTGTCTGGATGCAGGTGCTAGGCCCCTCCAAGTACCATGGCTGACCCCAGGAGTGTCACGGGACAGCTTAGGGTAGAGGATGCTCTAGCTAAAACTAATGCCTCCTTTGGTTGGATGACTGGCATCTGAGCTAGAAAGGACATTGGACTTAAGTCTGGCCCCCGTTCTACAGAGCAGGAACTGAGGACCCAGACAGCTCAAATGGCTTGCCCACAGCTCCACAGCTATTGTGCATAGCCAGGACCAGACCCCAGTCTGCAACTCCACCTGCTCCTGAGATTGCAGGAAGGAAGCTGCTCACAGGACAGGCTTGGAACTAGCTTGTTTCTGGGGAGGGCACAGCCATGGAGGCCTGGCAGGGAACAGAGCAGGAGGGCAAGGCAGCTTTGGCTTCTCCCTCATGTCTGACTCACCCAGAGGTCTTCCTCAGGGACTATGGAGAGCAAGGTGTCCTGACAGCATTTGTGCACCAGCTCTGAGAGCCCCACTCTTCCTCCAGCCCTGGCCCTGCCTGCCCCTCTGAGGCATTCTTTCCCCACCCTGTCACTGAGGCTGCAGCTCCTACCTCATCCACATCACTGACCCACTTCATGATGTGCTGGTACGAGCGCTCGCTGCTGATGTCATAGACTAAAAATATTCCCTGGGAAAGAAAAAGAGATGAGGAGGTGGATGCACAGAGAGTGTATAGTCCTGGAGCCAGAGGGGCTATGGTTCCTTAAATGCTGGGTCCCACTCTCCTTCCTCCTTGCTAGCATAATGAGGACCCTTAGCATCCAGAAACATCTCCTTTGCTCCCAGACCCCACCTCCCCAGCTGTCTCTTCCTGGCCTGTCACAGAACTTTCTGGGATAGGAAGGCACCATGTGCTTTGACCTGGGTCTTTGACCTAGGGTGGAGGGTGGAAGTTGGGGGAGGGGATGGGGAACCAGCCTACAGTAAATGCTCTGAGAATAACTGGTGGATCATTGAACAACTGAGAGGCTGACCTGAGGCTCCCTCCCCAGCAGGCAATCCCAGGGCCCTATTTTGGGGGTCAGTGGCACAGACATCTCAAACACCCAGATTTGGGAGTGTGGGTGGCAGCTTCCCACCTCTAAGCCCTGGAAAGGGAGCTTACCTGGGCCCGTCGATAGTACTGCTTTGTGATGGTCTGATATCTTTCCTGTCCAGCTGTGTCCCTGTAGTAGAAAGCCAATCTCTCAGAGGAGCAGGGACCAGGGAAGCAGTTGCAAAGGGGAGGAGCAGGAGCTGGGAGACCTCCCTGCCCTTGCAGAAAAAACTGGGGAGCTGAGGGGTGAAAAAGCAGTGGTGCTTTGACCCCGAAGGGGATCCAAACACACCTGACTCTCCAGTCAGAGACCTGGTCATCTGTACCGGCACTAACAAGGCCTGCAGGGCCTTAGCCCCTCCTGACAACTATATCATTTGTACTAAGAGCCACAACCATAACTGAACCTTGGACAGCTCTCTCTAGAATTTGGTCATCGTGGCCAGACTTGGTTGGATGAGGGGGATGCTGCTACACTCCCAGTCCCTATAGGACCTCTGAAGGCAATGCCCATCTCATTCTGGAATTGGGAGGCAGCTCCTGATGCTGGCAAAGGCAGTGAGTGCTTCCAGGATCTTCAGGCCAGAGAGCCACAGCAGCACCCTGTGGCTCCTTGTGGAAACTGCACCATGCCGTACTGAGGAAACTCTCACCAGGGTCTGTAGCCCTCCCTCCTTCCAATCTACAAACAGTGCCGCACAGCCCAAGGGTAAAGCCTAATTCTTCAATTCTTTTTGGTTTTTTTTTTCTCTTTTTTTGTGGCTGGCAGGTATGGGGATCCAAACCCTTGACCTCAGTGTTACAAGGCTGTGCTCTGACCAACTGAGCTAACCAGCCAGTTCGGTAAAGGCTGATTCTAAAAAAAAAATTCACAATGGTTAGTTTACCTCCTGCCCTTTGGGAACTTTTAGTCAATCCTGTAACATTTCTTAAGAAAGAGATTGGAGATTCAGGTTCATAGAAGCAGGAGACTGAGCTTCTGCACCTTCCTCTTCTCTCCATCATAGAGGTGGCCAGTTATCCCAGAGCCTCGGGATTTCACACAGGACAGTGGTGGCTAGGGAGCAGCCCAGGTCCTCCCCTCCTCCGTCTGCCTCCTCCTTCTCCTCCCCAACTCACCAGATCTGTATCCGCACTTTGATGCCATCTACCTCTATGGTCTTCATCTTAAAGTCAACACCTGGAGAAAGGAAGAAAGCAAGAAAGTTGGGAAGGGCACCCACTGAGAACTGAAAGGCCCAGGACACTCACACGGGAAGAGATTTCCTTTTGGTTTAATTTGACAAAGAGGTGGAATGAGGTAATCCTTTAACCAAAAGCTGACCTAAGGAAGTGCTGGCACTTCGAATGGGGCTTCCCTACCTCCCTGAGCAGAAAATTGCCAACAGTAAAGGACTCAGGGGACACAGGCAGAGGCAGAGTGAGTATGCAGGGATCTACTTCATCACTGCCTCACCGAACAGACCCACAATGGGTGTCATTCTACACATGTGTGAAGTCTTCCTATTTACACTTCTGGAGAGAACTGCCTGTGTTTATTCTCCCCGAAATTCTAATCCCTAGGAATAGCAATCCACATGCCTGTTCTCTCTCTCTCTCTCTCTCCCCACCCCCTTTAATAACCAGGAGGGGTAATAGTGCTGCTGTGGATGTGGGGAAAGCACATGGACCCTGGAGAGAGAGGACTACTTCAAGCCCGTGGTTGTGTATGAAGCCCTGGCACCTAGCAGAGGCCCACCAAGGAGAAGGCCTCAGTGGATCTCAGACGCTGACTAACCCCTGATTACCATAGGGGGTATTGTTGTTTACTAGAAGGAACACAGGCTTTGATGTCAGGCCTGAGCTTGAATCCTGACTCTGGCCACTCAACTCATAGCTATGACTCTGGGCACCCTGCTTCTCTGAGCCTTCACTTCCTTATCAGTAAAAAAATGGGCATGTTACCAGTCATCTCAGGGATGCTCAGAAGACCAGATGAGACACAGTGCCTGGCACAATGAACTGCAGCTATCATTGTAAACTTGTACAGCACCTGGCACCCAGCAGGGGCTTGTGAGTGACTATCACATGACCAGATGGAGAGGCCGAGGTGTGGCATGGAGTGGGGGCGGGGGAGGGGGGCAAAGCAGCACAGAGCTCTCAGCCTTCTGTGGACTGAATGGTGTTCCCCAAAGTCCACATATTAGAAGCTTAATTCCTACTGTAGCTATTGAGGGTGGGAAATCCTATTAAGTAATTGAAAGGTGGGGCCTTGAGGAGGGGATTAAATTGATGGTTTAATGGTGGTCATGGGTGTGGCTTTATAAGGAGAGTGCATGAGAGCTTTATAAGGAGAGTGCATGAGGATCTCTCTCTCTCTCTCTGCTCCACCACTTTCTGCCATGTGAGACCCCTGCGTTGCTGTAAAGCCACCACCAAAGAAGATGTTCACCAGATGTGTTCCCTGGACGTTGGACTTCCCAGCCTCTGAAAGTGTTAGTGATAAATTTTATTTTCTTATACATCACCCAGTTTCAGGCATTTTGTTATAAGTAAAAGAAACAGACTAATACACAGCTCCTCTGCCCAAGGGCTTGAGAGCTAAGCTGCCACAGCACAGGAAACACAAGGGGTTTGGCAAACCAGCCCAGGGCAGAAACAGATTTGGGGAAATTTGCAGCAAGAGAAGTCAGCATCACCAGCAGCAAACAAGCTTGACTCTGGGTGATGTCAGAGAGAGGAAGGGAGATGTTTAGACCACCATGCCTCACCCCAGCCTTCACTGTACCCAGGCACTGTGCCCAGTGATTCAAGAGCTGTGTCTAGAAGGTTAATTAAGCACGAGTCTTCGTGTGCTCCCTGGAGACAGGGCAGGCGTGGGCATCACTAACCAGATTTCAGATGGGGAACACGGTAAAGGCAGAGTCTGGACTGTCCATCAGCAGGCTGCACAGCCAGCCCAGAAGGCCCAGAGGTGCCAGCATTCCCAACGCCACTGCCATGCCACCTTGCATCAGTTATTTGCCAAATGGGAAAACATCTCCCCTTATCGATCCTGTCCCCAGCTTTCCACAAATACACAGTAAATTCCATCTCTCCCCTCCCACCATCGAGACCAATCATCATTTAATTACAAGAGAGAAAAAGATACAGAACGGATGGCCTGAATTAAATCAAGTTAGTCAGACGTGAATCATTTTTGCCTGCCCAAGCTGATTCACATCTATCGAGCTGTACTTTTCGAAATGGGCAATGTCTGGCAGCCATTCTTCTGCCAGAGAAAGAGTGTGGACAGGAGGAGGGAGGAAGGAGAGAGGCACCTGGTCTTGGTGGGAGGAGGAGTGTGATTACTCCCTTCCCGGACAGTTACTGGGAACTTGCTTCTCCCTGATACTTGGCATAGAAGGGAATCAGGAAATTCTAGTTGTTTCATGATATAGTGCCTTCCTCCAAGAATAATCAGAAATTTTGTTCATTTTATAATAAACCTAGCTCATCCTCAAACTAGCCTAACAAGCCTGGTCAAGGACAGTGCCTTGTAAGAAGTGGTCACAAGGAGAGGGGAAGACAGAAGGTTTTTTTTTTTTCTTTTTTGGCAGCTGGCTGGTAAGGGGAACCGAACCCTTGACCTTGGTGTTACAAGGCTGCGCTCTAACCAGCTGAGCTAACCAGCTAGCCCCAAAAGGTTTTATTTCCTTTATTCCACAACCATTTATGGGAACTTACTATGTGCCCAGCACAGTGCTCAGTGCAGAGAGTGGTGAGAAAGACATGATTTCTGCCCTTACAGAGCTTAGTTAAAAGGAAACAAAGGCCCAGACAGGTAAATAACTAGCCCAAGGTCAGCGCATCAAGTGCCGTGATTCAAACATGGATCTATTTATGCCAGAGCCCATGCTACCCCTTGCACTGTTTCTTGGGGGAACGAGAGGAGAGTTATGTGTTAACCAGGCACAGAAGACTAAACTATGCTTAGTTTCCTGTTTCCCTGTGATCTTTGAGAAGGGCTTCGCTGGGAGAGGTGTTTCCAATATGAAGGGAAATTTCTCCCTATGAGAGAAGAGGCTGTGACAAGAGGCAGGACTGACAAGAAGATAAAAATACACTGGATGTGAGGCTGGGCTTTGGTTCCTTCTCACTTCGTCCCTCAGTTCTTAACTGTGTGGCCAGGGACCAAGGCTGGGGCATTCTGGGGCTCACAGCACCCCGTTATAGCCCACCATCTTGCAACTTAAGCCCTACTGGCCACCCAATAAAATTTGTTTTAACATCTCTGAGAAGTAAAATGCTTAAATTTTGGCTGTTCACATGCACTAACATATGATGGAAGAAACAGAGTAAGTCCATGTCTTTTGAAGGATTTTTCCCTCGCCACCCAGCCCCCACTTTTTGTAAATTTTAAAAAAGGTCAATAGCCCGAGGACCTTTGGGTACAACCTATTCCTTCTAGTATCTGTTCCTACACACCCAGAACTTCCACAGTGTCCACCCTGCCAATCGAGCCCTGCCCGCAGTAACCTGTGCCCCTGCGGCCCCTGCCCTGTCCCTGCACGGCTGTTGGTTTTTTCCACTGCTGAGCACTGCAGGACAACGTCAAAACATTGGCCTGATTTAGTCCCCTACAGCATCACGCTTTCTCACCTCGCACACTATTGCAGCTGCTCAGCCAACTGTTTAGTCAGATGTGTGCTCACCTGCCACTTTCCCCAGTCACTGTCCTCCTAGCTGGAGGCTTCAGCCCCAGTGCCCCCTCCCCATCCCTGTGCTCTCAATAGAACCCCATCTCCACTGCTTTATGGGCCAGATGAATGCTGCCCAATGAAGCCTTTCTTCTGAGGCCTGCTTCATTTCTTCAGACTTTCCTGTTCTCCCTGCCCTCCCTTGGGGAAGAGTCTTCTGTCCTTTAGGTCTCACCTCTCAACTGTCCTCACCAGCTCCCTCCGGGGCACCACCTAACAGCTCACTCCTCCTCAGTGCACCTCTAGTATCTATGGGAAGAAGAGATGTTCTCCATCTGCCTCCACCTCCCAGGTAGTGTTTCTCAAACTTTAAGGTGCCCACGAAAGACCTGGGGATTGTGTTAAAAGCAGATTCCGATTCATTAGCTGTGGGATAAGGCCAGAGATGCTGCATTTAGCTTCCTGTGAAGCTGATGCTACCGGCCCATGGGTCATACTTTTGAGTAGCAAGCTTCTAGGACAGTGATTCTCCAAGTGTGTCCCCAGACCTGCGGCATCGGCATCACCCAGGACTTGGAAATGCAAATTCCAGACCCTCTGGGGATAAGGCCCAGCAATCTGTGTTTCAACAAGCTTGACAGGTGATTCTCACACATGCTTAAGTTTGAGAACTACATATGAATAAAAGCTTTGCACCTGAAGTGTCAAGAGAGGGCACCGGAGTCCTCTATTTCTCAAGGTGTGCTTTGCATCCTCAGCGTTAGAATCACCTGTGGTTATTTTTTTTTTTAAATATGCAGCTACCCTGACTTGCCTAGACCTACTGAATCATAATTCAAGTGAGGCCCAGGAACCTGTATTTTTAACAGCACTGTGGGTGATTTTTAGGTAGAGGGGAGTTTGAGAGCTATAATGTAGTGGAAGAGACAGCCATTGGCATTGGAGTCAGAAAAGACCTGGATCCACAGTCCTAGTTCGGCACTTGCTGTGTGACTTGAGCAAGCTTCCATTCTTCCAGCTTCCATTTTCTTATCTGTAGAATGAGACTATCACTTGCCTCCTAAGGGTTGTTATGGGATATAAATTAATGTGTGTAAAGCACCTGACATTCCCTGGTTGTGTCCCTCTTAACTTCCCTCTGCTGGATAAGAGCTTCCTGGGGAGCATTCAGGAAAACAAACCAGAGAACCTGATGTAGAAGGGATTACACAGTCCAGTCCCTTGCTAGTCCAGTACCCTTGCCAGTCCAGGCAGCACCAGTATCATAAGGAGCTTGTTAGAAATGCAAATTCTCAGGGTTCACCCATACCTACTAGATCTTTTGCACACTGAAGTTTGAGAATCACTCTCCGGCACATCTCTAGGCAGAACCACACACTAGGCTCACAGTAGTACTTGACTTTATAGTACCCCCTTAGCTATGGAATCCTGAGCCATGGCTCTCATGCCAGCCCTATGAAGCAGGCAGGAGTGGGTGTTATTATCGTGAGGCACAGAGAGGCCAAGTACTGTCCTCATGTTC